TAGTTTTCATAATTGGTTTCTCTAGGGAGCAGGTACACAGAACTTCTCAGGCTGCCATGCCATTAGTCCACCCTCTAATTCATTTTTAGAAAGACTTTTCAACCTTGATTCTAAAAATCTGATAAAGATAATACCAACACAAAACTGTAGAAGAGTTTATTAAAGAAAAAATTACTAAGTAAAATATTAGTAATTATCAACCTAGTAGTGATTCAAATGTGTAATACACACTAAGTAAAGTTTGTTTCTGAAATACAAGGATGGCTCAGTAATACATTAGCAACATTATCAGTATAAAATATTGGAAATGAAAACTTTATATTCAAATAATGTGATTATATTCTTAGAAAAGCTGAATGATGCCAGCAAAATTGTCTTAGAATTAACAATTTGGTAAGGGAACGGGATTCAAGATAACAAAAAAGTATCTTTATAAATCATTGCATTTCACTTGATTGCTCTTTGCAGATAGTACAGTTTTACACATTGGAGTTTTGTGACAACCCTGAGCCACACAAGTTTATTGACACCATTTTTCCAAAACTATTTGCTCACTTTGCTCTGTGTCATATTTTGGTAATTCTTGCAATATTTCAAACTTTTTCATTATTATTGTGAGCAGTGATTATGGCTCACTGGAAGCTCAGATGGTGGTTAGCATTTTCTAACAATAAAGATTTTTTAATTAAGGTAGGTACATTGCTTTGAGACATAATGCTGTTGCACACTTAACAGATTACAGGAGAGAGTAAACATAACTCATATATGCACTGGGAAACCAAAAAATCCACTGGACTCCCTTTCTTGTGATATTATGGTGGCCTGGAACAGAATGTGCGGTGCTGCCAAGGTCCCGCCTGTAGCAGTTTTTCTCCATTCTAGTAGTAACTAGTTAGAAACCTAAATAGGGAAAGAGCTGCTGAAAGTAACCACAAAATATATGAAATAACTAGGAATATAGGTAGATTTAGTAAAAAATGTTTGGGATCTGAAACTCCAAGAATCTGAAATAAGACTTCAGTGAATGGAGGAACATACAATGTCTGGATGGGAGACTTAATAGCAAAACAAAAAGAACCACCAGCTCTCCCCATATTAACATATAGGCAGTGTGATTCCCACCAAACTCTTGGGAATGGGACTGGATGAAATCGTTTTAAAGTTTTGTGTTGTAGAATTAAGTCTAACAATAGCCAAGAAAAGTATACAAAGGGCAGTAGTGAGTGCAGATAGTTGATGTAGCAGATAGAACTTTTTACAAAGCCACTGCAATTAAAAAAGCGACATTGGCACAGTAATAAAACAGTAGAACCAGAATAGAGAGTCTAGTGAAAGATCCCAGTATGTTTTGGCTTAGTATTTGTCACAGTCAGTATAGGTCCCTTATCTGAAACCTTAGGACCACATGTTTGTTTTTTATTAATTTTTGGATTTCAGAACATGGGAACAATCACTAATGTCCCCAGCAGCATCTGGAAAACTGCATAATGTCAGCTCATATTTACCATCAAGTGAGTGTTAGGGCGAAATGTTTCTTTGTGGACTTCTGGTTTTGTGGTAAGGGATTATAGACCTCTGTATCAATTCTGTGAGGAAAACAATGTTTTATCTCATAAATTTCTGGAAAGTTGGACCCCAACCTCATACCATATTAAATTCCAGGAATACTTAATGTGAAAAATAAAAGATAATACAATTTAGAAGATTGTTTACCTTAAGTTACAGAAAGCCATCTTGAGCAAGAAAGAAACCCAAAGGTCATAGAGATGACCTCATAGAAATGCTGGTCAGGTGGCTTGGTGTACACATCAGAACATTCAGGATTTGCTGGTGGGCAGGGAAATGACACAGGGGTGAGGAAGCAGCATACATTCTTTCATACAGCAGCAAAAAATATCCAACAGTGATAACATCTGATGCTGATGGTAGTAGCTTGTTTTAATACAGTAGGTGGAGCAAGCAGGACTTACTTGTTTTTTATTAGAGTCCTGAGCACTGACACTTTGGGGAACCTGTTTGGTAGAACTTTTTATCTGTTTGGTGAAAGCACTAGCATGGAAAAGTATAAGAGTTTGTTCTTCTAGTGTTTGGTTATTATCAAAATGTGGAAACATGTAAATGTGCCTCAGTTGGGAGAAGGTGTGGTTGTGTCCATCTGTGTGGTACAGGGAGGATAATGATAATGTGTTGGCAGGTGAGAAAGGGTTGCAGAGCAAATGTCTGTCCTGGGGTCCAAAATGAAAATTTTGAGCATGCATTGGGTCTCTATTTTCCCCAAAGAGTATGTGTAAAGACAAAAAGGTAAAGGGTGGGGAAAGGGAGCAGAAACAGCAAGTGAGATTTTTGAAACCTGATGTAGAGTTGGCTGGGGTTCAGTAGGGTTCCTGGAAGTGGGCTCTCCCACCCTCAGAAATAACTTTATCGTCTTCCTGTTTATGGCTGTGTAGTTACCTGTACACTCTCCATTGAGGAATTCCCTTCATTTTAGTGTGAATCCCTCCAAACAAAAGGCTCTGGTATGCTGTGCACACTGTGCCCATCACCTTTGTTGTAACAGGGGATAGATGAGCGCTATTTTAAAGGATTGCATGGTGTCCTTCTGAACGTGAGATTTAATGACTTCTCCACTGAGGAACATTTAGGTGCTTTCTCTTCAGTTTTTCAGTGCTGCAGTCCAACTGTGTGCATGTTTCCAATTGTTAAATTTAGGGTTGATTCTGAAAAGGAATTACTGAGACGGATTTATTTTTCATACATTGTATCAAATGCTTTGTAGAAAATAAATAGTTGACCTCACCAGCAGGGTAGAAGCATAAACTTCTTTTCAACCTTGCCATTTGGGGTATAATCCTTCACGCATGGAATCTGTGGGTTAAGATACTTAACTATTCAGTTTCATAGTCATATTCCTACTTTCATATCCTTCCTAATTCTAAGTGGTACTTTGCATATGGGCAGTTGGCTCCTAGTTTTATGGGTTGCACATTTGGCTTTCAGTAGGGTTTCTTAATTTGTTTACTGCTTACAGTTTTTATGTAAGCACATCAGGTTTCTGCAATACAGCTGTAAAGACATGTCTTTAATGATTCACATGCAGTAAGTATGGTGTGAAAGGATGGAGCATTTGAGCAAAGATCAGGTCGTGGTTCCATGCCTGTACCCAAAGTACACTTAGGGGTCTTCCCAATCCAGTGGGAGTGGGGTGGTGCTGGTCCCCGGAGTCGGGGTGGAGGGGTGCCGGAGTGGAGAGCCCACCGATCTGGCAGGGCTGGGTCTGGGGGCTTGGGGGGTGGGGCGGGGCGGGGAGGTGCTTTCGGGAGCCGGGAGCAGCCTCTCCAGCCCCGCCTGCCTTGCCCGCAGCTTATGATGGAGCAGTCCAAGAAGTCATCGCTCATGGTGGCCCGCAGCATCCTCAACAACAAGCTCATCAGCAAAAAGCTGGAGCGCTACCTGAAGGTGAGACGCGCGGGTGCCAGCGCGCAGGCCCTTTGTGGCCTCGGTCCCGCGGGTCTTTCCGCCCTTCAGTGACCGCACCCCTCTCTGCAGGGTGAGAATCCCTTCACCGACAGCCCCGAGGAGGAGAAGGAGCAGGAGGAGGCCGAAGGCGGGACGCTGGACGAGGGGTCGCTGGTCGAAGTGGCAGGGTGCGCGGAGGGTGCAGAGGGCGCGCCGGCCCAGCCCCCCGTTCCCCCAGAGCCGGCCCCCGGGGCCGCGTCCCCACCACCACCGCCGCCCCCAGAGGAGGAGGAGGAGGCTGTGCCCCTGCTGGGTGGGGCGCTGGAGCGCCAGATCCGCGGCATCCCGGGCCTCGACGTGGAGGCAGACGACGACGAGGAGGGCGATGGAGGAGCCCCGTGATGCAGGACCGGGGCGGGCGGGACCGGTGTGACAGAGGCTGGAGACAGAGCCCAATAAAGTTCTTTCCAATCCACTTGCCTGTGTTTGTTTGCGCGCGGCGCCGTGGGCGGGGCGGGAGTCGGGGCCGTGCCGAGGGGCGGTAGGAACCTGCGCGCGGGACCGGACGGGGCGGGGTGCGCCTGCGCACTATTGGGGTGGGGGAGGGGCGTACGCCTGCGCGCAACGAGGCGACACGGCCGGACCAAATCCCAAGATTCTGAAAGCCGGGATCGAGCGACCGGAAGGCCAGCTGGGGCAACAGGGGGCGGGCCCGCTGCGAGAGCTAGCCAATGCCGGTGCGTGGAAGCAGTGACGTGCGCTACCGGTCTTCCAGTAGCCGAAGGCGCGAGGTATGTTGAGCGCATGCGTCCTGTGGCAACGTAGAAAATCGGTCTGCCGGCGGGACGAGCTGAAGCATGGAGCAGGGCTACGGAGGTTAGTACTGGAGGCTCGGGGCGGGACGGGCAGGCGCTGCCGGGGTGATGCAGCGCCGCTGCGCAGAGGGTCGTGGGCAGGGGCCTACTTCTGAGCGCGTTTACCGCAGCCCGACCCTGCGGAAAGGCGGCCAGAGCGCGCGCGCGCACCGCTCATTGGGCCTCGGAACTGTCGCTCCCGGGGCGCTGCGTTCGGATTGGCCGACAAGGCCCGAGAAGGCGTACGGAAGCCCGACGCTGCGGCCAGCTTCGGCGGGCGTTGGCGACTGGCGGGCTAGTTTGCTGTCCCTGGGCCTCCGCAGGCACCGCCCGGACGTTCCCGCTGCCCCGAGGCCCGCCTTCCTCTTCGGAGGACGCCACAAAATGGCGGCTCTGAGAGGCGGAGCCTCGGCGAAAGCTTGCGGGACGCCGGGCAGGCTGCCGGGCCTAGACAGGGCAGCCGCCCAGCGCGGGGCTTGGCGGGACCTCCACGCAGCGCACGTGGCCCGGGAAGCTCATGCCGGAAGCCTTGCGGGCAGGGCGGGGGCGGGGCTTTCCCCGCGGGCGGTGCTGCGCACGCCGTCTCCACAGAGGCCAGCATGTCCCCCAGCCCGCACCCTCACCCGGCCCGGTTGGCCTCGGCCAGCGCTGTCCCCAGACCAGACAGGGAGGGGCGGGGGCTGAATCTCTTGTTCAAAGCCAGAAACCTCACGTGTCCTGTGGCGGCGACCGAGGGCAGCTCTCCGGGTCGTCCCTGGCTTGCACGTACCAGAGGGCCGTGTCACGGGGTACGCGCCCACTCCCTTCTTGGGCCTCGGAGCCTCCGGCAGAGTGGACCTTCTTCCCTGGCAACCTGGTTTCAGAACTCCAGGAGGCCCCTTGGTCTGTGCGGGTAGTCGAGTTTGTCCCCAGAGAACAGTCAACAGTTGACGGGTGAGGCCTGACCCCGCTCAGATTCCTGTCCTGGTGTATGAAGTTAAAGAAGCAGGCGGGCTAATCTTGCAGCAGCAGGAGAAGGCCCCGATCAGGAACGGTGGTAGCTTTAGCAGGATCCTGGCAGCAGGAATTAGAGAATCAAGAGGGGTCCTGAGGTGCATGGTGCGCCTGGGTGTCACCTGAGTACTGGGGAGCCCGGCCTGGCTGTCCCTCATTCTGTTAGACAGTCTGATTGGGTCTCCTCATGCTTTGCCTGCCTTCCCACCAGACCTTCCAGCCCTTGGCTTGGATAGTCCGTCCCCATAGCCCCCACCTGGTGAAAACCTTTCCTGCTCAAGTTTAGTTGCTGCAGCCTCTCGTGATCCTGTAGCTTTTCCACCTAGTTATTTCCAGGACCTGCTGACCCCTGACAATTGCTCCCTGATCATAGGAGGCACCTAGGTCTGGGTTCAGGTCCCCAGCACCATGATCTTGGCACCTTTGCCTCTCAAGCTTCTGGGTACAACAGAGTGAGTACTACCAGTCTGGAGAGGTGGTGTGAGGTTCCGTGAATGGCATATGCCACTTAATTAGACCAGTGCCCCTTGGTGAAACAGTCAGTACCCTGCAGTTGGCTCCTTGCTAGAATCATCACTCGCTTTTGGCTGCAGGGTGTGGAGGGCTGTGGCTTGGGGAGGTTGCAGCCTGCAGAGGGCTACCTTCTGCAGCAGGACTTTGGATCAAGTACCCTAACCTTTGAGCCCTGGCTCCCTCATCTCATAATGGCATTTGGGGACACCACTAATGTGCACTCAGTGCTGGTGGCGTGTGGTAGTCACTCAGCTGATGGTTTGGGTGGTTCTGTTAAGAGAGACTGGATATATTTTCACTTCTTAAAAGAGAAATCATGTGGCAGGTGTGGATGGCTGCCTGCCTGTGCCATGTCCAGCTCTGTTCCAGGCTCCAGGGAGATGAAGAGGAGCCAGACAGGAGCTGGGGTGGGATGAGGGGGCTGCCACAGAGAGGAGTGCAGGCATGCTTTAGGGCCAGGCTGAAGGCAGAGGGGAGCATCAGGGTTCAAAGTCACACACAAATGAGGCCTAGGAGGTTGCCAAGTGCAGTTACCATAGACTGGCCCTATGGAAAGGTAGAGTTATTTCCGAATTCTGAAGTATGTTCCCAGCTATGTGTTATTTACGGCTGCTTGGTGGTGGGCCGTACCAGGTGAGGGTACTGCCTGTGTCCTAGTGCTACTGGGTCATCATCAGTTGGGGATTGAGGCTTAAGCCCAGGTCCCTCAGCAGGTGGCATGCAGACCTGCCCCGGAGCCCATCCTCCTCCCCTCTGCAGGCAGGTGGAGTGATACGATGCAATCAGCCTGCCATGATGCTTTGTGGGGGATGCTGTTATGGTTATGCCACCTTCTTAGGCCAGTGCTGAATGCTTTCCAGGAGGTCCCTGTAGGGTCCTCAGAAGCATCTATTTCTGGTGTGACAAACAGGATCCTAACAGACAGGTCTTCTGTTTGCAGGCTATGGGGCATGGAGTGCCGGACCCACCAACACCCAAGGTGAGTGGGGCCTGCTTTACAGGGAGGTGTGGGCTTCCTGCCCCAGAACCTGAGGCATCAGCGTGACAGGCGTTCCTGATGCCATGCCTGGGACGGTCAGCTGACTGACCCTGGGGGGACTGACGGGTAGCTAGCCCAGGGACCTGGAAACCTTTCCTGCAAAGTGCTAGAGAGTACATTTTTTTGTTTTAGCAGGCTATGTAGTCTCTAGGGCAAAAACCACCAGGGACCGTTTATAAATAGGTGGACCTGTGTGTCAGTAACATTAAAGACACTGAAATTTGCGTGCCACCTGATCTTTTCATGTCATAAGATAGTCTTTGAGCAATTTCTATTATTTTATTCTAAGTAAACAGCTGAGGGTATAGTCGCAGAATTTTTATAATTAACAGGTTTTGTTTTTTAGTAGTTTGAGCTTTATGGAGTTCAATAGATAGGACAGAATTTCTATGGACAGAATTTGCTGGCCCTACCTATACCTCTGGCACATTTTTGCCTATTATTAACACCTTGCGTCCCTGGGATATATATGTTGTCACTAACAAATGAACATTGGACATTGATACATTGTCATTAACCATCATCCATAGTTTATATTAGCATTCACTCTCTTGCAAGCTCAGTGAGTTTTGATAAATACCTTAATGTTGTGTTTCGTGTCAACAAAGAATATGTCATGAAATATTCTTTTGACTTTAACCATTTTCCTTTCTCATCCGTTTAAAAAAGTAAAACCCATTCTTAGCTTGTGGGCTGTACAAAAACAGGATGATTTAGACTTGGCCTGGGGCCCCATTTGCTGACCCCACTTTGGAGTTTACATCATGACACTCAGTATTTGAAGGAGCAGAATGCCCTCCCTCGTGGTAAGGTTATCTGCTTTTTGCCAGCATCTGGTCCAGGCAATGGGATGGGGGCTTCCTTTGTTTTCTGAGACTGGGACTTGCCTCTGGCACCACTGGGGGCGGGGTCACTTTTTCACCCCTTACCAAGGTTCCCCAGGGAGGCCTCCATGTTGCTCGGGCACATAGTGTCCCCTTGCTCAGTTGAGCTGGGGACGTGGTTGTCCACCAGTGCTTGCTCCATGCTGCTGGCAGCCTGAGCTCTGGCTCCGGGTGAGAACTGGCACCTGAGAGGGCTCTGCCAGGAGGCCTGGCCCAGCTGGCCTCTTGGCTGGGGGCCCACCTTGAACGAGCTTCTCATGGAGCGCTGCAGTGCCCTTCCCTTTGCCCGGATCGGGGCAGACAGCCTTTCCTAGGAGAGGGGTGGGTGCTGATGAGGCTTAGCGGAGCACTCTGCAGGAAGCGAGCTCACCACTACTGGGTCCCAGCCTTGCCTGGCCCTACTGGGTGACTAGGGGCACCTCCAGCAGCCCTGGCCCTGTGGATAGTGTTGTGAGGGGGCAGGTGTCCTTCAGCATCCTGGCAGTGTCCATGAGGGATCTCAAGTGCCTTCGTTCTGCAAACAAAGCTGTGTGTGTGTTGTTTTTTTTTTTGTCTAAGGTGCATATGGACCTAGTGTGGCCAGCTGGCAAGGTAGGCTGTTCCAGGGTCTGTAAATGGGTGATCAGGCCTGTCATCAACTACCCAGAGGGACTGGGATGCAGGGGACCCCCGTTCCTGTCATCCATCCCAACTGTGTTCACAGCTCACCTGAAGGTTCTGTGGGCCCGGCCTGCGGTGCTGAGCTGGGCTGAGCTGGCCTCGGGGAGAACTGCATGAAGGGGGCGGGGCGGGTGTTCTGAGGCAGCAGCTGTTTGGTGGGTCTGTCACCAGCCCCAGCTCCACTCCAGGGCTCTCAGCCATCTCTCGCTTTGGAGGGAGAGCAAGTTGTAAGATGTGGTACAAAAAACCCACAGCTGCACCTCTTGGCAGGTGATGTGCATGGTGTCGGGCAGTACCAGTGGCACCTGGCCCTTCTCTGTGGGCAGCGGGCGCTCCTGCGTGGCTGTGTCCCCCATGGGCTGGGCTTGTGTCTGCTGGGTTCTGACCTGGCTCTTCCTCCCTCTGGCAGGCTATGAGAACTACAGTTACTACGGGGCCCAGAACACCAGCGTCACCACAGGAGCAGCCTACAGTTACGGCCCAGCCTCATGGGAGGCCACCAAGGCCAGTGACGGCCTGGCAGCCGGGGGCCCTGCCCTGCACATGGCTTCCTACGGCCCAGAGCCATGCACTGACAATTCCGACTCCCTCATTGCCAAGATCAACCAGCGCTTGGACATGATGTCCAAGGAAGGAGGCAGGGGAGGGAGCAGCGGCGGTAGGGAGGGCATGCAGGACCGGGAGAGGTGATTATGGCCCCGGGCCCTTCCCTGGGGACCCCACACACACACTGGCTTGGTGGGGATGGAAGTGGGCACCCCTTCTTCCAGGGCAGGCTCCTCCTGCTCCCTCCTTAGTGTGGAGTGCATGAGTTGGGCCATTGCTGGGGTAGAGCACTGGGACGGGACCTGCGGGTTCCTGGGCTGGGTTTTGGGGGGTGGCTCAGCTGAACTGCACTGGGTCCTTATTTCTGCCTTGGCCACCGGGCAGACCCCCGTTCTGGTGGCCCGGGATTCTGTGCCCCTCACTCTGTAAAGGGATTACTGGTCCATTTTGTCTTCTGGGCTTTTAGGAAGAATGCCCGGTGATGGGTTGTTGCTGTGCTGAGCGTTTGGCGGCCAGTTCGCCTCGGGGATTGTGGTTGCGCCCAGGAAGCGTGACGGGCCTGTTCCTTTGCAGCTCCTTCCGCTTCCAGCCATTCGAGCCCTATGACTCCAGGCCCTGTCTCCCTGAGCACCATGCCTACCGTCCCTCCTATGGCTACGACTATGACTTTGACCTGGGGCCTGACCGCAACGGCGGCTTCAGCGGTCAGTACGCTGACTGCCGGGACCCAGCCCGCGAGCGGAGCTCCCTTGATGGCTTCACGCGGGGCCGGGGCCAAGGCCGCTTCCAGGACCGAAGCAACCCCAGCACCTTCCTGCGCAGCGACTCCTTCATGCCGCCCACGGCCACCTCAGAGCCCCTTTCGGCTCCCTGGACCGAGATGAACTACGCGGGTGGGCGGGGCCTGCTTGGCCCCTCCCTGAGCCGCCCTCCACCTCCCCTCTTCTCCCAGCCCATGGCCCCTGATTTCAGTGTGCTGGGCATGCAGGGGGCAGGTGGTTATGACAGCTCTGTGCCCTACGGATGTGGCCAGTCACAGGCGCGGATGAGGGATCGGGTAAGCCCCAGCAAAGTTATAACTCACCCTCTTTGCTTTTTTTTAAGCAGCTTTATTCAGGTAAAATGTATGTACTGCAGGATTTGCTCATCTTTAAGTGTACAGTTTGAGGTTAAGTAAAAATATACAGAATTGTGCAACCTTCACCACATGTAATTTCAGAACGTGTCCATCACCCCTGAAAGAAGCCTCAGCTATCCACAGTCACTCCTCATTCCCTCCCACCAGCCCCTGGCAGCCTCTAGTCCAGTGTCTGTCTCTGGGTCTGCCTCCCCTGGACATTTCATATGAATGCCATCACACAATATTTTCTGTGCCTGGCTTTGACTCAGCATAAAATTTGGGGCGGGGTGGGGTGGTCAACTATGCTGTCTGTCTTTGCTTTCTGAAAGACTTCACCTGCCTCTCTGTTCTCTGATCTCACAACCTCTCCATTCTCTACTTCTCTGGGGAACCTCAGCGGTCTCGGTAAGCAGTATATTGGGATGCGCTTTGTCTGTAGCCCAGGTGGAGAGGGGTTGACCGCTGCGGCCCAGACGGCATGGCCAGGAAGCGGAAGCAGTTTCAGATCTGTGATGAGCCAGATGCCAAACAGGCCCGGGCTGACAGCGATGGAGATTTTTCTGACAATGGTATGTCCCGGGACCAATAGGCCTAAGGGTGTCGGCTGAGTCAGTTGCATGCTTGGGTGTTCCACCTGCCTGTCCAGATGGTGGACAGTTGGGAACTCAAGGGTGGAGCGTGTCACTTAACGCTGCCACAGCCCCCACTGTAGTCAGGACAAGCACGGGCACTGTCCAGGGAGCTTGGGAGGGTGAGAATGGAGTGGGCCAACTGCCAAGGGTCTGACTTCCCCTATGCCTTTGTGTCTGCTAGATGATGGAGCTGGTGACTTCCGGTCTGGGGATGAAGAATGCAGGGGTGTAAGTCCACCTTTACGGGCCAACATCCTTTGTCTCTAGCACAGGACTTCTTAGCATTTTTCTTACAAAGAGGTGGGAATAGCTGCTATGGCAGACTCACTCTACATCATGAGTGGATTTAATAACCTGACTTACAGCTAGGCTTCTAAGTGTCTTCCACTTTGCAGCAATCCTTCCCTTCCTGAAAAAAGTTATCAGCCCTCTCCCCAGCTGCCGCCATGTCCTCGTAGTGATACACCTACTGCACACGTGGGGAACGCAGGGGCTCCGGGCTCTGACGCTTCCAACATGCCCTGGAGGCTCGCTTGCTGCCAGCTCTGTGCTGGCGCTGCGCTGCATCCATCTCAGTCAGCCGTTACACCCCCCCATAGGAGATGGGTGTCTTAAGGCCCACCCTTAGGACTGTGCTCCAGCATCTGGGGAGCAAGCTTTGCTCCCCCCCCCCACCACCACCACCAAATCCTCCTCCAAGTTAGGGCAAGGCCTGGAGCTCTGGGTGTGTGAAGGCCTCCACCAGGTGCTTCTGGTGGTCAGTCAGGTCTGAGGAGGTTGAGGTGAGGATACAAGATACAGCGACTCCTCAGATCTCTGTCTGGCTTCCTTAGATCTTCAGTCAGAGAATCTCTGTGTATCTGCTGACTGCTCATTACTTATCAGCTCTATGTCTAGGGAATGAACTCTTTTAATTTTTGATTTTCAATTAGATGAATTGTCCTTAGCTGTACCTCATTTGTTACAACTTTTGGTAAATATAAACAAATGGCTGGGAAATGGCATAAAGCCATTTTCAGTAAAGAATGTTGGAACAAGCATCCTACAGATGGCGGTTTGGGCTCCTGACATTCCTGGGTGCAGAACTGTGTGAAGTACATTTGCCAGAGGCAGTTCTTTAGCCTTAGAAAGAACTGAAACAGGGTCAGTGACTTTAATCAAAATGCAAGTTAGTTGTCATCACAGAATCTCAGAAGACTGCCCGGAGAAGTGACAGGACGCATTCAGGCCCGTGGCCTGAGACTATCCTGACACCCAGTAGCTGTGTTCCTGGTGGCACAGTGACCACCAGGTGGTAGCAGGGAGTTGGGCTGGTTGTGAAGAGTTCTGGAAATGCCACCTCACCGCCCAATTTTGTATGTGCCCTTTTTCAGGACGACGAGTTCTTTGACTCCGGGAGGCAGAGAGGTAGGCATTACTGTGTCCCGTTGAGCTCTCCTGTGTCTCCCCAGCCGCCCTGCCCTCACTGCCCAGCTCCCAGCAAGCTCGGAGCCTGGGTGGGCCTTGGCCGTGGACTCACCCTGAGGCCTTACTCCAGTGTTTGGAGCAGCGCTTGCTGGAAATGGGTCTGTTTGCCTCACTTGATGCAGGCTGCAGAGAGGGAGGGCAGACGCTCCTGAGTTCTGCACAGCATTGTCAGGGAAGGGAGAGTCTCAGAAATGCAAGAGAGGAAAGAAAAGGCTCCCTCCAGCTTGTCTTCTCTGTCCTCCCTTGGTCAGTGCAGGTCCCTGTACTGTTTTCTCCTGGGCTTTGTTCTTTATGCAGCACCTTGGTTGCCAGCCCAGGGCTGTGCTCTTAGCCTCTGTGATGGGGATACCAGCAGCTGTAGTGCATGTGGTCGTGTGGGACAGAGTTTGGACAACTGCCAGGGTTGGGAGCTCAGAGCTGAGGGATGCCTGTCAGGTACACCCAGGCCCAGATCCTCCAAAGGCAGTTGCTCAGCAGATTTCGTCAGTCCCCGTGTGGGAGACCTAAGAGTCTAAGTAACGCAAGCAGAGCGAATAAACTCCTCAGGGGACCATGGAGAAGCAGTCAGAGATGCAGTGGGCTTAGGCTTACGCAAAGCCACTTGCTCCTGTTCCCGTCCCTGTGGGCCCATCTTCCGTAGCTGGTTTCCCTGAGAGTCACAGGCTGGCTCCTCTGTGTTCAGACTCAGCCAATCCTTGGAAGTCCCCCCACCCCATTTATCAAGACAATCATGTCTGTAGTAGGGGACCACACAGAGCACTTAGCAGCTCAAACAGCAGGGTAACTGCTAAAGCAAAGGTGACGTGTTTATTGCGCGCAGGTCCTGCTACCTACCCGGGATGACTTTGCTATTAAACAGCAGTAATAGTTTCAGGCAGTGACCTCTTGCAAATACCCCACACGCCCTTTTGAGAGGCTTCTGAGCAGCGCACGCCGGTCGCCATCTTCGTGGGACAGTCTCGTGACTGGCATCAGGGGTAGGGGTTACAGTTCAGATGCTTATCCAACCTTTTTTCAGTGTCACCCTGAGCCACGGTGACCTGGCCTGGCTTCACTCTGGGACACTGGGCTGCACGGCTCTCAGAGGAGCTCCTGCACTGGCCCCAGGGGGCGGACGGAGGACCGATTGGTCTCTTCCACTTTTGTTTCTAGGATTGCTTCCCACATAGCCCTGGGAAAGCCCCAGATTGATGGTTTTTGTGAGTGGAAGATAGAGTTTGGGCCAGCAAGGACTTTCAGACCTGCTGAGGCCCTAGTTCAGAGGAGGCCGACGGGACAGTCATCAGGGCCCGCCCGGAGGTGGATGGAGGCCGGCAGAGATGTCTTTATTTGCTGAGGCCTTCCAGCTGCTGCCTCTTTTATGGGAAGAATTGCTTCTCTCCTTAAGTGATGTTGGGAGAGGACCCAGTAGTAGGGCATTGGATTGGAAAAGCAGGACAGAGAGCAGGTGGGCTGTGTCCCTGGCCCATCCCAGCCTGATGAGGCCATATGGGGAGTGAGGTGACTGCTGGGAACTCCCAAGGGTCCTCCTCAAAGGCCCATCCCTGTTGGGAGCCCTTGACAGCCCCTTGGTGCCTGAGAGTGTCCCGGCCCTGCCATGTGCAGAGGCAGCGGCGGCTGAGCTGCAGCCCCGGCAAGGCCCTGGTGCTCAGTCCCTCCGGACTCTTCGGAGCGTCTCAGAGGGACTCCTCTGTTGCAGGAGAGAAGGACGCCGAGGACGACGAGGTAAAGAAGAGAAGGGAGAAGCAAAGGAGGAGAGACAGGATGCGAGACCGAGCTGCTGACAGGTGAGGAGGCGGAAAGGGGGAGGTCTGCTGGACCCGGGCCCCACCGACGCCCTCCGGGGCTCATCCGCCTTCACTCCACGGCGCAACGGTCCTCGTTTGGGCTATGTCCAGGTGTCTGTTGGGGAATCCCAATCAGGTTGGAGGGAGACAAAAGTGGAGAAACACACAGAATCCTATTCTTGCAGGGGGTCAGAGTGGCCCTCATGTGGGTCTGTTGCCTGCAGGCTTGTGGGGCATTCTTGTGCCCCGGCTTGTGTCTGTCATCCCAGACAAATGAACTTCATTCAGCATAGCCGCTCAGGTGTGTCCACTGCAGTGTCCAGATTTCTGGAGTTCGACGCGACAGTTAAACATGTATAGAGGTCATCTTCAAGACTTGTCCCTACATAGAAAAAGAAATACAAAAGTACAAAGCTCAGAAGGTGTTGGTGTGACCACACCACGAGCCTCTCTCTGTACTGCTATTAAGTGGCTGCTGTTAGAAATGTCAGCCGCAGGTACGAGTGAATGCTCTGTGGCTGAGGCCTTGATCATGCGTGGCCGCCTGTCCGTGCGCAGGTTCTCTGCGGCGAGGGGAGTCCATATCCTGAGGCTCCCGCTCGCAGTGTTTTTCCTGTGCAGAGAAACGTGTAACAAAAGAACTAACAGTAGAGGCTGGGAAGCCAGGAACTGAAAAGTTGGGGCTTCCAAGTATTAGAGAAATTCATCAAAACCCTTGTTTTTAAACATGAATAAATGATGGCTAGATGAGATCTATTTTCATGCCACAAGGGAACTGAGATGACATTTTTTTAAAGGAATCTCTGAGTCTACCATAGTGACAGGATCCTCAGAAAGGTTTGGAGAGAGTGTCACAGAGGGGGTAAAGATGCATCGGGGAAGCATGAGCCCCATACTTCTTTGGTAGTGTCCTGCAGGTCCTGTACACAGGGCCCGGGAGCTTTCCCTCTCCACTCTTCTCGGGGGGGGCGGTGCAAAAGGAAATGTGTCTTGTGGTGGTTGTCCAGAGATTAGAAGCCAGACTTGCAGGTGTGTCTCGTTGACAGAGGAGGAATCCTGAGAGCCACAGGACCTGCGCAGCTCCCCAGGTAGGCTGGAGCCTCCCTGGCAGGTCTGAAGGGAGCAGGGCCTCACTGTGGGGGCACAGGGGTCTGCAGGCCCTTCTCCCCTTGCTGTGTAGTAGTATTGGATCTGGTGAGATTTCAAAATTGCACAACCCAAGAAACCCCTGTTTTCATCCATAGAATTTGACATGATGTGTCTTTACATCAAGTCCCATGGGGGAATCAGTCTTAGGTCATGTGACTTGTAAGTTGTGCGATGTCTTGGGGAATTCCTCTCAAGAAGGGGTTGCCTTTTATCATCTTAGCGGATGCAGAAAGAAACGCATCTGAGAAGCTGCGGAGTTCAGTACTAGGCCCCCAGAGCAGGAGACTGAAGGCTTAGGGAGTCCAGTTTGAAAATTCCACTTGAGGGTTATTCTCTTAAGGCCTTTGGGCCCAAAAGACCGGTGTGGTAGTTGATTGTAAATTGCCATGCTCCTGACATACTTACAAGGTTGTGCTTCCATTCTTAAGATGTGGAAACTTGGGGTAACTGCTACTCTAATACCCCAGGAGAAAAGTCAGAGATCTGGGCTCAGAAACCTGCTTGCTTTCGTTTCCACCACAGTCCTCAGTGGGGGGAGACCAGTTTTCCCCCCATGACTGTTCTCCTCCTCGTCTTCCTCCTCCAGGATTCAGTTTGCGTGTTCCGTGTGTAAGTTTCGTAGTTTTGAAGATGAAGAAATCCAGAAGCATCTACAAAGCAAATTTCACAAAGAGACACTGAGGTTTATAAGTACCAAGCTGCCTGACAAGACGGTAGCGTTCCTCCAGGTAAAGTGCACTTGGCGTCTGTCACTGTGCGCCAGTGACCCCATAGGTATTGGGTCCCTCAGAAAGAAGGGAAGGGGAAGGGAAGTCAGAGGCCTGGACTTGACCAAGGTTTCGTTTTCTCAAATAACGGTGTACACGTCCCATCCCCAAGTCCAGAGGGACAGCTGAGAGCTCCAGGCATCGCAGTTGCTGCTAGTTCTGCCCACGCAGCTGCTGCGATAGCCACCGTCCCGTCCCACGGCAGCTGAGACAAGGCTGTCGTCTGCCAGGGGCTTGCGCCCACTGTGCTGAGCCACCTCTGGCACACTTGAGAAGCGCCCACATGCGCCGCCCTGTCTTCTCATCTCGCGTCATCTCCCAACTCCTCCAGGAATACATTGTGAACAGGAATAAGAAGATTGAGAAGCGGCGTCAGGAACTGATGGAGAAGGAGAGCACGAAACCAAAACCAGATCCTTTCAAAGGTGAGCTGGGAGCCTGGGGCTTTGCCGCAGGACGGGACTGCAGGCAAACCCACTTCGGGCTGCCACGGACGAGCTGGGGAGACCCTCACAAGAGGCACTCAGCCGTGGGAAGATGCCCTTGTGGGTGACCCAGTGCAGACCACAGCCCAGAGGCAGCTCATCAGAGTGATATGAAACACTGATGTTTCTTCCCTTTGAATGAAGAGAAAGGACCAGAAGGATGAGAAAAGTGTAGAATTTTCAGATGCAGAGACTGTTGGTTCTTTCCCCACACTCCTGCTGGTGGGCAGACGACACCTGTGTCAGATCCTGTCCCAAGAGGGGTAGCAGGTGGGGGATGTGGGTCTGGCTGGGGCACTGGAGGAAAGCACTACTTGCACGCCGTCCCAAATCCCACAAGACTTGGATATCATCAACAGGGATTGGCCAGGAGCACTTCTTCAAGAAGATAGAAGCTGCCCACTGCCTGGCCTGTGACATGCTGATCCCCGCGCAACACCAGCTCCTGCAGCGGCACCTGCATTCTGTCGACCATAATCACAACCGCCGGGTGAGTCACCTCCAGATGCTGGGTGGGGCTGCCCACAGTGGCATCCAGAACCTTCTGTGTCTTACAGGGCACACTGAGATCTTTAAGGCCTCTTGCTGTATTCCCTGAAATCTGTCATTTCTTCTACTGATTATATACTAACGTGAGAAAATGTGTTGCTTAGAATTGACAAAATATGGTAGCTGAAATTCTCCTGGTTTGGGAATGTTCCCTGGTCAACCACTCAGAATTCTCGAGTTGCTGAGAATGGATCTCCTGAAAGCAGAGGCTGAGGGACATTCGGAGCAGAGTGGCCTGGGGGACCCAGGGTTAAGGACTGGTTTGCTGTCAGTAGCTGACAGGGCCTTGGGGCTAACACCTCAAGCCTGAGCTCTAGCTTGCTGAGCCCTGGTTTGGCATCTCTATCCTGGGTTTATGCGACTAGCAAATGGTGATCAGTACCTGCCCCCCTCCCCGCATTTTGGGCATTATTAAAAGACCAGCCAAAAAGCACTATACAGACAAGGGATCATTGTATGAGTGTGTCAAACTAAAAAAGAGGTTAGATGGTAGGATCATTCATATTTGTGTTGTTGAGCCTATTTGTAAAGTCCGCCTAACTCAGAAACCGGAAGTGGAAAGACCTGCTCTTTTCCCTGCCCAGCCCCATACGGCCTCTGGGCTACAGACGTCCTCGTCTCCTCCTTGCTTATGCACATGGCGCCTGCACGTCAGTGGTGTGTCTGCTTTTGACTCTTAAGATCATCAGACCTCTCCACTGTTTCAGTCTGGAGGTGGGATGTCTCTCGGTGCCTTCTCTCCCTCATTAGCGGCGTCTGGCGTTTGAGGCTCTGCTGTAGTGAAGAGAGATGTTCGTTGTCTTTCTGCATCTGGCTGGTCCTGGCCGCTCGATGAAGCCCAGCTCGACTGTTCTCTTGCTCCTCTGCTCGTGCAGTTTGTTTAAAAGCCCACGTCTGGTTCCCTTTGCAGTTGGCTGCTGAACAGTTCAAGAAAACAAGTCTCCATGTGGCTAAGAGTGTTTTGAACAACAGACATATAGTGAAGATGCTGGAGAAATACCTCAAGGTTTGTGTTGAGTACAAAGGATGGGAAAAGCTTTCAAAATGGAGGATGAACTTAGGGGTCTGGGATTGTATCCAGAGTACAGTATTTAGCTTTGCTGAGCCTTCTGAAGAACTGAGGGACCTTGGAGGGTATCAGGCTTGGAAATCCCACAACCACAGATTCCCTGAGATTCTGTTTGCCCAGGAACTCCGGGATGTGGGCCTGCTTGATTGATCTGCGCGGTGGTGCTGGCTCTCACCCTGAGAGGCCTTGTCTGTCTGTCTGTCCATAAAGGACTGACAAAGGAATGCTGAGATGCCAAAAAAAAAAAATCCAAGGTAAATGATAATTGTCCCGAAAAGAAGCTAAAAAGAGGTTTTGCTGGCAAACAAGTGACAGTGCGATTGGGGAGGAAGGGGCAGTGTTGCCCCAACTACTGAGCCTTAGTGGGAGCAGAGTGATAAGGGCCCAGGAGGGATTCCTGGAGAGAAGCCTGCTCCCTCCTCAGGAAGCCCGTTCTGCTGGAGCTCCCCCCAGGCCTCCCCAGCTGGGGCCGGCAGCCAGCAGGCTAGCGAAGACGTGTTTGCTCTCCTGTCACTTAATTCAGGGCTTCAGTATCTGACAGTTCGTGCCACTATTAGAGGCATGGACTCTAAAGAACCAATTTAAGAGTCATGACCAGTCAGGGTTTTTACCTCATGGCTTAGACAGATTTAAAGTTTCTAGAGTGACGTATAGACTGAAGCTTGTAAACACTGTATTACAAAACACATTTCCTAATTTTCTGATGATAATGTTTAGATTTTTCTAAACCAGTTCACAATTTTTAGCATATGCTTGTGAGGAATTCGGCTTCTTAGAGTCAGGCTTGGACTGAATCGTGACTGATGCTTAAGAAGTGTGTGGCCTCCACCACGTCACTGACCTTTGAGTCTCATTTCCTTATCTGTGAAATGGTGATCACCCTCACGCCAGGGCTGTGTGCACACTTCACGGAAACCAAAATTTAAAAGAGTCTCAACTTCCTGTTATGACACTTTTTTTTTTATACCAAGCTGAGAAATCCTGGGTCTTTTTGAACTTTTCCTCACTATTAGATGCCAGAGTAAAAAGGGAAAAGTCATTCTGGTGAAGCTTTCTGAGATGTCTTTTCTGAGTCTGTAGGTCCTGAGTGCCTGTTGGATTGAATAACTCCATGGGTGCAGGTTCAAGTACTTCTCTTTGTTGACTGCCGGTCATCAGAGGTGGCGTCCTGGCACCCTCCCTCATCCAGTCTCTCGCCTGGACAGGTGATGGCCTGCGCTGACCTATGTTCGCTCTTCTTGGCCAGGGTGAAGACCCTTTCGCCAGTGAAGCTGCTGATCCAGAGGTCGAAGGAGATGATAATCTGGGGGGTGAGGATAAGGAAGAGACACCCGAGGAGGTGGCCGAGGAGGTCTTAGCCAAGGTGATCACAGCCACAGTGAGAGCCGTCGATGGCGAAGGAGCACCGGCTCTGGGGAGTGGTAACACGTCAGTTGAAGGGGAAGGCCCTGCGGGCACAGCAGAGGCCACTAGTGGTCCCCACCCCGAAGAGCTGCTGGAAATGGAGGCGCCCCGCGGAGTGGCATCTGAGAAGGGCAGTGTGGAAGCAGAGGCCGGAGACCAAGCTGCGCACGCCAGGAGCGAAGCTGCAGAGGCCGGAGGCGAGGCAGAAACCCTGGTGGCTGAGGCCAGAAGCACCCAAACTGCCGCCGCGCCTGCCGCAGCTGCCAGTGAAGCCCAAGTTGAACACTGATGCAGAGTCCAGTGGGGTTATTCCCACAGAATGATCCTCTCCCGGAGGCAGGGGATGTGTTACATATGATGCATTGTTGCTCTTTCTCCTTTGTAAGCAAGACTAAGGTGTGTGTTACTGGAATATGCTGAAAACTTATTTGAAAAGACCCAGCCATTTCCCTCAGAAAAGTGTACCTCGCAGGCTTGTCTGACAGACTAGTGTGGCTTTCTGCCTCGGCCCAGAGGCACAGAAGGTGTACATTCCCCTGAGGGAGCGCTGTGACAGCTCTCTTCGCTGCAAGCTAGAATAATGAAAGTTGGCTAATTAGACTTTCATGATGCTTGTTAAGTACATCTATCTGCTGGCTGAATGCCCTTTTCCTCTTCTTTCCTTGGGAGCAGTTGAATACTAGGATGTATCTTGCTTTAATAAAGGACTTTTTTTTTTTTTTAAGTTCAGGAATTTGCTTTGCCTTCAGTTTTTGGCCTCTGTTTTTGTAGTGCTTTGTGTGCTTCGTGGCCCTCAAGACGTAGTGGGATTTTAACACACAATGTGGATTCTGTCACGTCCGTGAACTCCATCGCAGGCCTGGCGGATCCGACCTGCCCCCACCAACAGGCACACACACCTGCCACTTAGGAGGACACTTGGCCACAGGCATTGCTTCCCAGCCTTCAGTCCCCTCCCCAGTGAACCGCCTTTAGTTTTACCTCATTTGTGTTCCACCTCTACATTACTTTAGGGTTGTTTTTGTTCTTTGAGTTGAGTTAGTTCTACTTAAATATATTTCAGAAGAATTCTTATCACTCCTCTGGATGGAAAACCAATATAAACTGCCACAGATAGATGCCATCTGTAGAGAAATAAACATAGTGAGATAAACTTATTTCATTTTCAATAAATCCCATTCCTTTGGAGGTTTCTGAATCTGAGGCGAAAGCTAGCATAAAAGTGTAATAAGCAACAGTTAAATTTTCAGACTCAAAAGAATTGGAAGACAACCTCTCTTTTGAAATGACACCGCTGGGTCTGTTTCCCTGTAAACCTTTGAACTTAACCACATTGGGGAAAGCATTGACCAGTGGGAAATTACTAGAAAAGAGATAGTAAAATATTTGATGAGCATCTACTGTGTGCCAGGTGCTAATTCATGATACAAATAAGATACGGGCCCTGTTCTCAAGGAGGGTTATTGGAGGTGTGATTTATGAAAAAGTCAATATTAGAATTACAAACAAATAAATTGCTTAGTAAGCAAGAAAATAGTGTCTCTGAATCATTTCTGCTCATCACTGCTCAATACGACAGAGACGTGGCTGAGTCACAGGTGGAGCTTGACCTGTGAGACTCCCTGAGGCAAAAATTTGGGTGGCATTGCACACCTATAGTCTGAGAAAGGGTAACAGCTATGAAACTTGTTTTTCTTGTAAAAGTAACCCAAGGTCTGCCATTAGGTCTATCCAAATTTCAGTGAGGTGATTCCCTAATAAGCTCAACATTTTTCTTTTTTAGAAAGAAACTGAGACAACGTGAATCATCTTGTTCCTAAACTTAGGTTAGACTAGGCCTTTATCCCCCAAGGTGGGGAGTAAGTACTTGGGTTAAGCCCTAACATTTCCTGAGGTCACAGGAGTAAATGACAAGTTTCCTCACTGGGAACTAATAATTATCAATTACTCTCCATTTGTAGAGGAGAAACCCAAAGGGGGAGGTTAAGTAACTTTTAGGGTCACATCAAAGATGTGGGGATACCCAAAGTAATACACAGGTCTGTAAAACAGTGTCCACGAACTTAACAGAAATGACAAAGCACCTCTATTTGAAAAACGGGTTTAGAGGAGTTGGCAGTTCCCGCTATTCCCAAGCAAAAAAAAATAGGGATGACACCCTAAATTTCAATTTCATATAGTCATGGAATTGTGTGATTTCATTGGGCTTTTATGAAATTAATACAGTTGGTAAAGGAAATGATGTAAAGAACAAGGAGCTTATTCAAGAGTATGTCATGGTCAGGATCACTAAATCCTCTCCAACTGCTAGTTAGACCAGAGAGTACCTGATTTTCCTTCCCTACCCGATAACCTGACTGAAAGGGGTCCTTGCTCACCAAAGGTGTGGCCAGTAGTGATCAGACAGGCAAAGTAAAGTTCAAGCAGAACTCCAGCACTAACAGAAAAGAGCTTTTTGGCAAAATTTATTTTTTCAGGAGCCTTACAGGACTCAGTAAAAAGATAGGCATGGAAAAAAAAGTATGGGGTCACTCCCTTCATCTTACACAAGAACACAGGCCTGTGAGGTTGGCTGATTTTTCACAGTTAAACTTCACAGTCCCTGTATGCCCTCAAAACTTACCTGGTGAGTGTATGCTTTAAGTAGGTGAGAAATTAAGAATTTTAATTAACTCATGGGGTTATCAGAAGTGAGATAAATGGCACTATTGAAAAGATGATTACCTAATAATCAACATTTTTCTTTTTTAGAAGTAAAATTCACGTAAAATGAACCACTGACCGTTTTAAAGTGGACATGGTATCCTCAATGTTGGACGACCACCACCACTGTGGTTCCAAGGCATCTTTGTCCTAAAAGTGAACTCCTTACCCATTAACAATCACTCCCCATTCTCCCTCCCTCAATCTCCTGATAACCATTAATCTGCTTTCTGTCTCTGGATTCATCTATTCTGGGTATTTCATATAAATGGAGCCATACATGATCTTTTCAGTCTGGCTTGACTTTTCACTAAGTATGTTTTGAGGTTCCTCTATGATGTAGCCTGTTATAATTCATTCCTTTTTACGGCTGAATAATATACCATGGTTTGTATATACTATATTCGGTTACTCAGCCATCCAATAATGGACATTTGGCTTTCCACCTTTTGACTATTATGAATAGTACTGCTAAAAAGTATTCTTGAACAAGTGTCTGAGTACCTGTTTTCAGTTCTTTTGGGTATATACCTAGGAGTGGAATTATTAAGTCATAATGGTAATTTTATGTTTAAACTTTTGAGGAACCACCAAACTTTGTTACCACAACTGTACCATTTTGCATTCCCATCAGCAATGTACAAGGGTTCCAATTTCTTCACATTCTTACCAACACTTTATTTTCCAGTTTTTTTATTCTAGCCATCTTAGTAGGTGTGAAGTGGTATCTCCTTGTGGTTTTGATCTGCATTTCCCTAATGACTAATGATGTTAGGCAACCCTTCATGTGCTTGCTGGCCATTTGTTTATCTTTGGAGAAATATCTAGTCAAGTTCTTTACTCTAAATTGGGTTGTCTCTTGAAGCGGTCCTGAGAAAGAACAAAGCTGGGGCGATTATACTCCCTGACTTCAAGCTTTACTACTAAGTCACAGTAATCAAAACAATTTGGTACTGGCACAAGAATAGACCCATAGATCAATGGAACAGAATAGAGAGCCCAGATATAAACCCACACATGTATGATCAATTAATATACAATAAAGGAACCATGGATATACAATGGGGAAAAGACAGTCTCTTAAATAACTGGTGTTGGGAAAACTGGACAGCTACATGTAAGAGAATGAAACTGGATTATACTCTGTTCACAAAAGTAAACTCAAAATGGATGGACCTGAATGTAAGTCATGAAACCATAAAACTCTTAGAAGAAAATATAAGCAAAAGTCTATTGAATATAAGCATGAGCAATTTTTTTCTGGACACATCTCAGGTAAGGGAAACAAACACAAGTGGGACTACATCAAACTAAAAAGCTTCAGTACAGAAAAGGACACCATCAGCAGAACAAAAAGGCATCCTACAGTATGGAAGAATAGATCTGTAAATGATTTATCTGATAAGGGGTTCACATCCAAAATAAAGAGCTCACATGCCTGAACACCAAAAAATAAATAAATAAATAACCCAATTAGGAAATGGGTGGAGGACCTGAGAGACACTTCTCTAAAGAAATTCAGATGGCCAACAGGCACATGAAAAGATGCTCCACATCACTAATCATCAGGGAAATGCTAATCAAAACCACAGTGATGTGTCACCTCATACCAGTTACAATGACCACTATACAAGACAAGAAATATCAAGCGTTAGCGAGGATATGGAGAAAAGAGAACTCTCCTACACCATTGGGACTGTCCATTGGTGCAGCCACTGTGGGAAGCAGTATGGAGGTTCCTCAAAAAACTAAAAATAGGAATATCATTAGACCCAGTAATTCCAATTCTAGGAATTTACCCAAACAAAACAAAATCCCTGATCCAGAAAGACATATGCACCCCTATGTTTATCACTGCATTATTTATAATAGCCAACATATGGAAGCAACCTAAGTGTCCATCAGTAGATGAATGGATAAAGATGTGGTACATATACACAATGGAATAGTATTCAGCCATAAGAAGAAAACCTGCCATTTGCAAAAACATGGATGGATCTAAAGGGTATGGTGCTCAGTGAAATAAGCCAGGTAGAGAAAGACAAATACCATCTGATTTCATTTATTTGTGTAAATACAAAAAAACAAAGCAAAACAGAAGGAACAAGACAGCAGGAGACTCATAGACACTGAGAAGTGTCTAGTGGTTATCATGGGGGAGGAGTTAGGGTGGGTGGGGAAAGTGGGGGATAAAAGGGCACAAAATTTCTCAATCATAATATAAGTTGGTCACGGGGTTAGCAGTATAGCATGGAGAATATAGTCAGTGATTCAGTAACATCTTTCTGTGTTGACAGACCATGCTAGAAGGGGGAGGATTTAATAGTATGGTGACTGTTGAGCTGATAATTTTTTGGTGGATTCTTTAGGATTCTCACATATAAGATCATGTCATCTGTGAATAGAGATTGTTTTACTTCTCCTTTTCCTATATGGATGCTTTTTACATCTTTTTCTTGCCTAATTGCTCTGTCTAGAACTTCCAGCACAATGTTGGCATCCTATAATGTCTCTTTTTAAAGTTCTTTATATCTTCAGTAACCTTTCTCCTGACTATGAATTCCATTAAATTTATGTGGAAGACCACTTGTCTAGGTCCCTGCAAATACTCTAATTCCAGCCAATCCATTTAAGTTGGGTTCTATAGATAAAGAACGTAAAATACATAAAAACTTGTTTTGGAATCTAAGTTAAAAAGTCACTGGTCAACAAATTGGGTGTTTAGTGTCTGCAGGGCCTGGGCATTGTGGGTGCATGTTTCAATATCTGCTCAGTAACCTGTCCATAGATACCCACTCTAGACAAATCTTCAACCTGTCCTATGGGAAATGCCTGGGAATTATAGTTGAGACGCCTACAAAGATTTGGAAAAATTTGCCTAAATGGGAGTGAAGATCACTCACAAATGCATCACAAATTTATCTATTTGCTGCTATGGAATTCTCTCTGAAAAAACTCCTCTTTAGAGATAAGCCCCAAGGGCCAATGACGAATTCAGGGTAACAGAATGTGTGAATTGCCTGCTA